AGATGGAGAAGGGCACAAGTCATAAATTTACATGGTCTGTGTAGAAAAATGAATAAAAAGTAAGCTTCAGCACCACCAAATCCCTTTGATTCCCCCATTTTAGTAACAAAAATATGAAAGTTTCCATTATTATTTTCCCATGTGTAGTTTTGGGAATAAGAGATGCCAAAAAATATTGAGATAATTCTATGAAGTGCAGAACAATCACCAACATCTGTTTTTGAGACTGATTAGTAAGTAAATGAAGTTATAAACAGTAACAGTAAGTAAAAAGAATACAGGCAGCCTGCTGTAAGGAATAACTGATCAATTCACTGTTTACCAAGCCTTTTTGGTAGTTTACTGATTATGCCCAGACTTGCTTTTCTTTACCTCTTCCTAAAGTCACTAGTAATGAAGCTTAAAATAATTGAAGCACACATCTCAAATTTTCTACTTGTGATTTCAGTGTATAAACATAAATCAGACTCCAATGAAGTTTTGTAATTGCCTTAGGTACAGAACATGACTTTCATGGGGTAAAATGGTGACTATAAATGGCCAGATATTTTCACAACATAAACCTAAAAGACAAACAGAGGTTTGCTATGCCACTGCTAACAACAAGGGAACTGATAAAACTTCTCCACTCCAACAGCAGCAGCTCTAGCATCACCCAGTTTCACTTGGCTGTCTGGTTCTGCAGCAACAGCACTACCCACAGCACCACAGGCAGACAGACCAGATTGGCTCCTCTCATTCAGTGTTAACACTCCCATTAGATACGGGCAGCCAACAGCACTTGAGCAATAGTGCTGCTAACACTGCTCAGCCGGGTGGCTCCTCAGCAATGGTAGAAAAAATCCAGAGAACAGGTAGAGAACTCACACTTAATCCAACAAGTTGTTCTGAGCTGACATTACGTTACAGCTGCACTAGCTTCTCAAAGAGCAAAGCCCATTAAAACAGAACTTAAGAAATTAATGTTGTGGTCAAATGAGTTTAACCAGTAAATCAGAGGCTCCTTCACAATATTCATTGCATCATACTGGTGAAACTGCATGACTCCTATCACAATTATTTTACATACTTACCAAGAACTTGAGAGCTTTCTGTTTCCAAACAGGATCATTCTGCGGGATTGTAGAATAGGGAAATAAAATTAAAAGACTGAATAAATACTACAGTATTTGTTTGATCATTTTGAACAAAACAAGACTTTTTAATCTTTCATCCAATTAAAAAAGTCAACACAAAAAAAAGATAGTAATTTTAGGTCACAGACATAAGCAGATCACATTAGAGCCCCAAAAGCAATTGGGTAGTAGCTATTACAAAAGTGTAACTGCATTACTTTTAATACCAGGAAGAACACATTTCATACCTAAGCTACCAGATACTATCTTGTATACTATACAAGACACTATACCATTATAAACACTATACTATTACTATACTACAATAATAACTACAAGAGCTATCTTTCCCAGGCCTTTCTCCCTCAGGTCAAACCTCGTGTTTAGGCAAGTGCCCGGCTGCTTCTAGCATAGCACCTGACCAGCCTGAGGACTAAAGAGCAAGACATCACCAAAACAGACATCACCACATTTGACAGTGGGGAGAGGCAGCACACAGCAGGACAAGGAATCAAAGGGTTAAAACTTAAACAGGGCAAGTTTAGATTGGATATAAGGAAGAAGTTCTTTACTGTAAGAGTGGTGAGGCACTGGAATGGGTTGCCAAGGGAAGCTGTGAATGCTCCAACCCTGGCGGTGTCCAAGGCCAGATTGCACAGAGCCTTGGGTGGCATGGTTTAATGTGAGGTGTCCCTGCCCATGGCAGGGGGTTGGAACTAGATGATCTTAAGGTCCTTTCCACCCTAACTATTCTATGATTCTACGATTCTAAAATACGACAGATTACAAAATCACCTCTGCCACTAAGGTGAAAATAAGGCAGTTTTCAGTGTTCATGCCCAGTGCTATTCAGGATGGATACTTGAGAAATCATTTTGAGTTTCCCCTTTGAGTTAGAAAGGATTGTAAAAATACACCTACAGATTTAAACCAAACCTTCGGTACAGATAGAATACCTTTGATCTGATGAGGAGCAAAACAAAGAAGCAGAGGCTGCAGAGCACAGGCTGGGAGGCCTGGTATGCATACACTGGGTCCAACATAGCGACTTTGAACAGGAATTATGAGAGCTAAGGTGGACGTACAGTATTCCCTCCCCCCTTGCTGTGATGAACACAAAACTCTGGTCATTAAGTCAATTGTTTTGCTTCTTTAATTAGATTAATAAAAAGAAGCCAAAGAGTAAAATTTCTTCAGAAAAATGAAAAGGAAGCATAGGGAAACTGCTACAATGTAAAAGACATCCATATAATTACTATCTGTACATACCTCACGCTTATAATCATCTTCCCACCTTAAAAAGAAAGAAATGACAATATTAAGATACATTCTAAAGATTTCTAAGAAGTTAGGTTTACCTATAGTATCTAAATAATTCAATTTCCAAATTTACATCACTTACCAATACAGGCTACCTTTCCTCTGTGGCATATTTAAAATACTATTTCATAAAGTTCCTTATTCCAACTGACTCAAAGAATTCAGTAATACTGACCAACTTCTTTACAGATCAGCTAAAGGACATGAGTAAAAAAGGTGGTTTTTTTACTTCCTATATGAGCCCTTCATACCACTTACTCAGCCAACGTTATTCCAACTAAACAGGTAACAGCCTGAAATTTGAATTGCAATTACTTGTGTATGAGTACATCATGTGTAATCAGTGCAATATTTCAAAAGCCACAGCTACCATTTCCTCAGGCACAAAGGAACAACTTACACAAGAGGAGTAAGTAGAGTGAAAAGACAATACAAAATCTTCTCCTCGTATGTGACAATGCTTGTTACAGAAAACGGATTTAATAAGAGAGTTCAAAACCCCCAAAAATCTCTTCCGATTCTCCTGTAGGACAGTATTCTCACCTTGCTTTCTTCTTTGATGGGGCTAGAAAATAAATCAGAATTATTAGCAACATCATAGGGTTTCCAACATATTACTGTTCTATTACAGGTTGAACGTTTTAGATGAGCCAAACCTTTTGAGTTCAACTACTAATTCAAATTAGGCCAAATATCAATTATATCAAATCAATTATATTCAAGTAATTCATAGACTTATGTGGGGTACTTGGTCTTGCACAACCTTCAATCTAGGAATAGGAATAGTTTCATATTAGATTTTCTGATTAAAATTTCGTAACAGTCTCTACTGATACTACCTTTAGTACTTCTATTTATCCCCGCATAATGTAGCGCATTTTACAGATACATAATCTTGTAAATATCAATGAAATTTGAGCAAAAATTTGCTTACACTGAAGAGAATGCAACTTGTAAAAATTAGAAATCATTGATGTAAAGCAATAAAATTTCTGAACTCAGACTGAACATTTCCTATGTAAAAAACCCTTACATCTTACAAGTAAACAGCTTCATTTTTTCTGATGAATTTCAATAATACTATTCTTTTCCAAATATATTTTTGGGGCAACTTTAAGTTAAGCCTCAACTCAATTTAATACTATACTTCCTAGAAACACAAATCTAACAAGCTTTGCCAGCAGTACTTTTAAACTTTACTAGGTCAAACATAAATGCACTGATAAAAGATACACTACCAGATACTGTACATTTACTTGCAATTACCTTATACATTTTTAATCCTTCAGATTTCTCCAGCTCTCCTGCTATCCGTCTGAGAAATTAGACTTTGCATTCTTTTACATCTGCTGTCTTTCTCTTCATTTTATCTGGAAATTCTTCAGACTGTCGACAAAACCCAGTTGAAATGGTCAATACCAAAATTCATTGCTATATTAAATAACTGGCACATTTCACCTTTTGGACAAGCTTCTAAAAGGCTCATAAACAACATTTTGAATATTATGAACTAGTTTCTTCTCTGTAACATAACTAATTACATTTTAATATTAAAGTTGCTTAATTAGTGTTCAAAACAAAAAGTGGATATCATGCAAGGCTTGCTACCAAAAGGCAGCGTGCTCTCCACCATGTCCAAAATGCGATGGACATGCTGAGGAATATGGAAGAACCAAACTGTTCTAGGAACCTGATCCTGAAGGCAATCAAAACACTTAGGAATAGACTTTGAGCAGATACAGACACACACCTTGGGATTGCACTTCCTCAACAGCTCACAACTTCAAAGCTATTTGAGTTGGTCCAGCCCACAAAGAGTCAACCATACAGGTACTAGAAATTTATCACATAGGGGTTCAAACTTGATGTAAATATTTACAGGAAAAAAAAAAAAAGAAATAAAAAAGGAAAAGAAAGGGGAGCATCATAGAATCATAGAAGAGTTAGGGTTGGAAAGGACCTTAAGATCATCTAGTTCCAACCCCCCTGCCATGGGCAGGGACACCTCACACTAAACCATAATCACCCAAGGCCTCGTCCAACCTGGCCTTGAACACTGCCAGGGATGGAGCATTCACAACCTCCCTGGGCAACCCATTCCAGTGCCTCACCACCCTAACAGGAAAGAATTTCCTCCTTATATCCAATCTAAACTTCCCCTGTTTAAGTTTTAACCCTTTACCCCTTGTCCTATCACTACAGTCCCTACTGAATAGTCCATCCCCAGCATCCCTATAGGTCCCCATCAGATACTGGAAGGCTGCTATGAGGTCTCCACGCAGCCTTCTCTTCTCCAGGCTGAACAGCCCCAACTTCCTCAGCCTGTCTTCATATGGGAGGTGCTCCAGTCCCCTGATCATCCTCGTGGCCCTTCTCTGGACTTGTTCCACCAGCTCCATGTCCTTTTTATGTTGAGGACACCAGAACTGCACACAATACTCCAGGTGAGGTCTCACAAGAGCAGAGTAAAGGGGCAGGATCACCTCCTTCAACCTGCTGGTCACACTACTTTCGATGCAGCCCAGTTGGCTTTCTGGGCTACAAGCGCACACTGCCTTCTTATAAAGAAATTGTTATCAAAACGCATCAAAATTACTCATGATGTATGCTCTTCTGTGTTTATATCCACTAAGGTGTTCTATCATAGGTGCCATCTCCATATTAAACCCACACAGCTTGCACTTATAATGTGGCTCTTTTCTTCCTTCAAATCTGATTTCAACCACATGTTCTAAACCTGTAAAAGATGTACACAGATTACTATAAACAAATGTATTCAATATTGCCCATTAAAAGCCAAAAGGAACAAATAAAAGTATTCTATTTACAGAATTTCAACACTTCTTCAGAACTACTACCCATATCAGTTGTCTCTTTACAATGCTTTATTCAGGAAAAATATGGTTTATGACAGATTTGCAAGCCCACCAAAATAAAGTATTTCACATAATTTTTTTCTGCCTGGGATGTTTTCAAGAAACTAAGAAAGTGCCTTACATTCCATACAGTCAGGAAGAGAAAAAAAGAAAATTGGAATAGAAAATGCCATGCAAATACCTAGATTAAAAAAACTGCATTTACAGTACTTAGTCAAACATAATTGGACAGCGTCCAAGCACAAAGCACATGCAGGAAAGGCAAAACCGAACCTTCTATAATCTAAAAATCTTCCATAAACTTTAAAGAATTACAGGAAAAATGGGATTTTTCTTCATTTTTCCTAGAAATGACTGAAAGACTATGCCATAGAAGTATTCAGAAATCTCCAAGGTTTATATATAACTATGTATACCTAGCATGAGAAGTTTTACTCTGAACAGCTTAAATGCATCAAGTTTAAAAGCAGCTTAAAACTAATAGGAAAAACCTGCAGCTGTTCCCTATTATCATATTTTCCACTGTGTTTTTGTGACGGGTTGACCCCAGGCAGCAACCAAGCACCACCCAGCTGCTTGCTCACTCACATCCACACCCCTCAGCAGGATGGGGAGAAATGATGACCAAAAGCGAGAATTCATGGCTTAAGATAAAGAGGGTTTAATAGGTAACAGAAGGAGGAAAGGGAATTTGAAAGCTAGTCATTCAAGTCCCCACAAGCAGACCAACACCCACTCTGTCTCTGAACAGCCACCTTGGAAGCTAAACCACCACCACCACCCTTTTCCTTTATCTCATTTGTGATTGCTGAGCATGACATTATGCAGTACAGAACATCCTTTTGGCCAGCTTGGTTCAACTGTCCTGGCTGTGCTCCCTCCTGGGGTCCTGCCCACCCCTATACTACTCAAGGGGCAAGGGATGGGAAGGCAGAATGAAAAAGAGAGTCTTGACACTGCGCACTGCTCAGCAACAGCCAAAACACTAGTGCGCTGTCAACAGTTTCAGTCACAAATCCAAAACGTACAGGCTGCTATGAAAAAACTGAACTCCATCGCAGGCCCACTACAATATTATAGCTGATAAAACGCAACTCTGAAAATAAACTATCACCAAATGACTGAGTATACTATGTAAAACTTTTCTATTTACCTTTTTCTATTAAAAAATACTTACAATAAACTATGTTTTTTAACACCAATACTGTATGTAGACTAACAGCACAACAATTCATTAAACAGACAAATTCTCTACTAATACTAGGAAGTTTGCTATTTAGCTCTTTATCAGGGAACATATTTCCCTAGGCCACGAGCACACATTAGATAGACCAAAAAACCCTTAAGATCCATCTCATTACTTTTAGTATTCCCAAAGACAGTGAAGAAAAATAGCTCATTGAACAGAAACACCTGTATATCCCACCAAAATAAAACACAAAAGAATCACCAGATGACCAGTCACCAGTGGAACAGAGTCTAGTTGGACCGGCAGCTAGTGGCATACTAGTGGGTCTACTCATGTTTGAAATCCTCATTAATGGTCTGATGATCAGGTAGCATATACCCTCAGAACATCTGCTGATGTCACAGGCCAACATCCCCCAGGAGGGACGGCCAACATACCAGAGGGTTGTGCTGCCATCCAGATGGACTTCCACAGGCTGGAGAAATGGGCTGACAGGAACCTCATGCAGTTCAACAGGGGGAAATGTAAATTCCTGCATGTGGGAAAAAACAAGCCCAGGTAACCAGTACACCGTGGGGGCTGATCAGCTGGGAAGCAGCTTGGCAGAAACAGACCTGGGTCAACACCAAGTTGCTGATAAACCAGCAGTGGGCCTTTGTGTCCAAGAAGCCCAATGGTATCCCAGGCTGCATGAGGTGGAGTGCTGCCAGCAGGCTAAAGGAGACGATCTACCCTCTCCACTCAGCAGCAATAGGGACATGCCTGGGGTGCTTTGTCCAGTTCTAGCCTTTCTAGTACAAGAGACATGGACATACAAAGGGTCATGAAGATCATGAAGTCTCTGGAGTATCTCTCGTATGAGGAGAGGCTGAGAGGGCTGGGACAGTTTAGCCTGGAGGAGAAAAAGCTCAGATGGGAAGAGGGAGCCAAGCTCTTTTCAGTGGTGTCCAGTGACAGAACACAAGAGGCAATGGGCGCAAACTCAAACACAGGACATGGTGTTTGAATATCACAAAACATCTTTGACTGTGAGGGTGGCTAAGCACTGACCCAGGTTTCCCCCGAGAGGTCGTGGAGTCTCCCACCTTGGATATATTCAAAAGCCACCTGGACATGGCCATGAGCAGCCAACTGTGAGTGACCTTGCAGAGTGTTTAGACAAGATGACCTCCAAAGGTCCCTTCCAACCTCAATTATTCCGTAATCTGCGAAAAGCCTCTTGACTGGGATGGCTACTTTAGTTAACAATTAAGGTGCATAAAAGAGGTGGCCTTTATAGTACCCATTGTAATAAGTTAAACTTTCAAAGGTGTAAGAGTTATCCTGTAAATTATTCAATACATTTACAGAAAACAAAGCAATATCTAAAATTCCACCTTATATTTAAAAACAAAAGCTGTTTGGTCACAAATTCAAAGACATACCATTTTGAAAACAAAAAACATACCAACTAGAGGTTCTTCTCTTTTGGGATCATTGATAAAATCCTTCAGACAGGTTATGTCCTTTGTGAGTCTTCTGTTCACCAAGGTAAAAAATATACACATAAAGAGATATTACATATTAGACAGCTTGCACATAGCTTCTATGATCTTACAGGAGTTTCTAATGGGGACTCAAGGGGACAAACTTAATTTGCACTCTGAAACATGCAAGCAAGACCTCAGTCACTCACAAAAAGTTTCTGAACTGTTTTCCATCAAAATTTTGCATGCAAGGAATAACGTCTTCAAGAAGAGAACCAAATAAACAAAACAGACCTTCTAACATAATCCAATTTACTGAGGAAAGATACCATGTTCACATTCAGAGCATGTCTCAGACCTTGACAGTTCCCATTAAAAAAAAAAAAAGGAAAAAAAAAGGCACCACAAGCCACCAAGCTCCTTCTTCCCCTAAAACCCTAATACTGAGACTGCTTGTTTGGAGTCTGAAGTTCAGGAACTATATTGTCTTAACTCTAATAAAGAACACAATCTTTTATATATATATATTTATTATATTTTTATATATATATATATAACTATTTTATATATATACCAATATTATATATATACATACATACATTTATATATACACACACACCCCCCAATGTAGCAAATGCCTTTTGTACTCTGGGCAGACCAGCCCAGAAGCTGCACAACCAGCTATTATGTTCCTGAGCCTGAACTAGCAGTGTTTCAATCATGGCTGTATCTTGTTCCTCACCGAGTTTTAATAGTTTGTTATTGCACTGCCTAAAACATTTCTAAAGTATACCTGGTCAACTTGGAGCATCAGAGGGGTTCAGCTCAATGTATCTGCAAAACAATCTCAAGTGTAAGCGTATTCAAGTGTTAGCCATTATGAAAGAGCTAAAAGAGTTAAAACACATATTTTTAATCTGAAAAAAGTGCAGAAATATAATCCATCTTTCTAATTACATTTAGCTGTACTTTAACTGACTGATGAATTTCACAAGTGTCATAAACACTGCTAGTTTCCCCAAATCAGAGCAAACAAGTAGAAATACCACAAGCATTGATCAGTTATCGTAGTCTTTCTCCCTAGGATGCCAAAAAAAAATCCAACCCAAAACCCAACAAACACACAAACTTCAGAAGGATAGGAAATTCCATGCTTGCTCTTAAATATTCCTTCCATTAGGAATATGCTTGTGCTCCCATTATGTCAAATACCAGGGCTACACAAAAATAATAAAAAAAAAACACAGCATTAATTTAAATGAAAAACCTCTTGCAATTTAATTGTGTAGAAAATATCTCCTGCCACAGCAACAGTGTCCCATTCCCACCAGAACTCAGCTTTTCAACAAGACTGTATTCTCCGTTGTTTTGGGTTTTATTTTTGTCTGAGGTGACACAGCAGTAGCATAGTGCAACAGAACTGACATGTAACAAGTTGGTACCACATAATTTCCATAGACAGATTTTTTTTACCAATACTTAAATGTATTATGCAGTTCTCGTGCATTTGTGTGCCTGTGCAGTAGCTCTCGGTGTGAGCTGGCTGTTTGCAAGCTGACAGTGAAAGGCATGCAGTCTTCTGGACTTAATATGGAAAGATCCACACAGAAAATGTTTAAGGTTTCCACAAGGTAATGGCCATATTCTTCCTGCTTCCTAACATAAAAGTAAATATTGTTTTAGTATCATCCTGGTAAGAAACAACCCATACTGTTCTTGGTTTGTACACTTCTGTTTTGTCAAACTTCCACTGTATTGTATGTGCACACACAAGCATGCTACAAAATTTTGTGGGAAAACTTCACCAGCTAAAACAAAACAAATACAACAAAACCAAAACAAACAGCTGGATTCATTGATACTAGATGTTATCAGATAATCAGGAAGACAGAATCTGTGTCTCAAATTTGAAAGTTGTTCTGTGAAAATACTTGTAACTTCATACTCTCTGAAGATCTTTCTCACATAGATTAACCAATGCACAGAAGAAAAATCAATGGTCCAAATGTCTGGTAACTAGGACTACTTCTTCCAAAACCACAATCAGCCACCTGCTTTGGTCATCTTTAAACCAAAACCCACTGGTTTCAAAGTTACACTTGAAAGAAGGACAGTAGCTTATCAACATTCATTTACCTGGTCTCTGTGCTTCATACTTCACTGAAGTTCGGACTGGAACAGAAGGACCTAGGACAATAGTTTGACACTCAGACTAATTCTCACTTACTTTTATTAAATACCTTGTAGATCATCCAAACAAGTTAGAGATTTGAACTGTTATCTTCATTTTACAGTTTAATATAAGCACACTGGTAGCAATATTCCATCTTGGTACACTTTCCATCTGTAACTTTATTGCTCTAGGTAAGAAAAAGTCTTCAATTCCACTTCTCTTCCCCACCAACACAATACACCAAATAGACAAACATCACAGAAGCACAGAATATTCAATATTTAGTTTTATTTTAAGCATTTTTCATACTACTTGGTTATATTATTTTAACTATTCAGTATTGTCCATGACAGTTGATCTGTCACAGCCACCTGACAGAAAACTTCTGATCTAAGCATTTAGGGCCCCACACATAGCCCCACAGACAATTCAAAATTCATTAAAATGCATCTTCCTTAGGGTTCTGTATACATTCTTAATCACTCAGATCTTCGGAGTGAATTTTTAGATATGCTTTTGTAAAGCTTCTTCCACTCCATTGCTTTGGAACACCTTTGCCTTGCTCCTCTCTTCCTTCAAATCCATTGACACAGACAAACCACAAGTGTGCTTTAGTGAAGTCAGTATTTTGTTAAATTGCAGCATTCAATATTAAAACAAGATGACACGCCATTACTCATTTACTAGAAAGTGAATGTTTAATCATATATTTGCCCATGTAATTCCTATTTTTGAAATGAAGGCATTTTCCATAGTCATGGAAACCTGAGTTCTTATGATAAATTATCCATCTTTTTCAGTGAAAAGCTTCAAAGTCCCTAGTGGCAAGAAGATCTCCAGTTACTCTGCAAGTTCAAAAATTATATAATTCCAGAGTTGTTCAGTTAGTGCCTGAAGACCAAGTTAGATTCCAGGTCCAACACCTGCAAACTGACAACACGGCAAAATACTAACATGAATAAGTACCTGTGAAATAAGATTTTTAGCATGCTGTTTTCTGTTTACTTCTAGGAATAAATTCAGTTTGCAGAGAATTGCAACAGAAGCAGTTCACAAGGCAGTCTGCCTTAATACGGTTGAGGTGTACAAAAGTGGTAAAGCTAAAAATCAAGTTGTAGCTGCTACCATTACCAAAAGCAGAAGTTTGGGGTTTTAAGGTATTTTCAATCTTAAAAAGAAAACAAAAAAAAACAAAAAATAAAAACCAACAAACAAAACAAAAACCAAACAAAAAAACCTTAAAAAGCATTTAGCAAATATTATCATTGCTGCCTGCAAAAGTTTAACCAGGCACCTATGATCTTGAAGACACCTTTTTCAGCAACATCAGGTTTCAAGGCTAACATTTAATTCATGCTTACTAGCCACATGGCTTTGTAATGCTATTAATAACGCAAGATATTTCTAAAACATTTCAAAACCAAAATACAACAGTATTTTCCCTTAAAGCCCATCAGAGTGACCCATGAGCTGAAAATCAGCTGTACTGCTACACTCAAAGGGCAACAATCAATAGCCCAGCCTCTTGGTGTTCAGTAAACAGCAGAGTACCCAAAGACTGATTCCAGGGCCCAGAACAATAAATAGCACCATCATCAGTAACCTGTTTGAGGATGCATAGAACAACTTTGGGGAATTCACAGACAGTAGAAATTTAGGGGATACAACCAATGTAACAGTTTCAGTAGAGTAGGGAACATTAAGGATTAAAGAAACTTTAAGAAACATAATAAGAAGCATAGGGTTACACAGCTGAAATAACCCCACTCATGAGCACAGGCTGGGATCTGCCTGATTGAGCAGCTGCACTGTCAAAAAGAACCTCAGAATTATGATGAACAAGAAGCTGAATACTGGCCAAAGGCAAGTCTCCCATAAACGAGGCTATATTGATACTGTACAGTATCCCATAAACCCTATGTTGATACTGCACGCAGTATACATCAGAATAGCTAATCCTCCATTATTTGGGACTTGTGAAGCTCCTTCTCCGGTTCAAGTGGGATGTGAAGAAACACAGCAGGACATGGCAGAAGGACCACAAAGGCAACCTGTCCAGGGCAAATAACTTAAGAAGAAAAGGTTTGGGAGCTGAACTTATTTAGCTTGGTAAATCACAGGCTAAGATGAGATCTAATACTATAGATAACCTGAACAGCAGCTACAAAGATTAGTCAAACCTTTTGAGCATGTGACAACTGCGTAACTACTCTTCAGAAACAGTTGCTTAGGAGGCACAAACTAAACGTTAGGATGAAATCCCTCTTTTCTAGTCTGTGACTCAGAAAAGAACTTCCAGGTTTCTTTTCTTTGAAAATGTAGCAGTAGTTCTATACATTATGCATATTAATCAGTGCTTGACAGATGCTGAGCATGGAGGGACATGTTAAAATATTTATTATAAAGCTGACATGCCGCTTGCCTTTGGTCAATCCAAGACAGAACACACAACAGATGTGCTTTCACTGGAGGGAGAAGTTGTAGTCAGTGCTGTTAAATAAATGCAGCTTATCTTCAGATCCGATTCTATTCCTTGACTCCAAGCTTTACAGAATTACTATAATGAAGCTTTTTTTACTCATGATGCTACTTGAAGGTTTTAAGTTGAAGAATGTAGATGCAAGTTGCTAGATCCAGCAATTAAACACCTGCAACATCCCTTATTACACTTTCTGTGTGTATTATTGAAGTACTGTAAGCTAGCTCTGCATCTTCCTGTAACACAATAAAAATTCCACAGGCTTTACAAAAAATTTCCATTAAACCAGCCACTCTTCTTTATGCCAAATTAACTTCATCAATAGGCAGCCCATAAATGGCTTTAGCAGGGCTCATTTCCATCTTACGCCTCCTACCTGAGCTGTTTTGCTTTAGCAGTAAACCACTGGATTTTGCTGTTGCCCAGGGAACATGTGCCTAACATCTATATTGGCATTCTCCCATCATTTAACGCCTCTTGCACAAAGCAGGAAGTTTTCAAAACTTCTGCCTGCTTTGGTCAAACAGTCCCAGGAAAAAGCAGCAATGCTGAGTCTCTTCCACTCCTTAATCCTGAATGCATACGTGCAACTGCCTCAGATAGAGCTGGAAAAAGTCTATCTGTCCAATTATATCACTGTACAAAAAAATTATATGACAAAATTATATACTTAACTGAGCTTTAACTCTTAGTAAAATCTTAGAACTTCAGCATCTTCCGTTCCCACATCTTCCCTTCTCACATCTTCCACTAAGTTGCTCTCCTCTGAACTGCTGGAGAGCAGGCATATTCAATTCTGTCATTACCACAAAAATAACTATTGATAGTTTTGCCATAAGGAAACTCACAGTGGTATCCAGATGTCTTTCTTACAGAAAGTGGTACTCCTTCAAACACAATCATCTGGAAACAGATGCACCTCCTGACTTAACTGACTTCAAAGCTAACAATACTGTACAGTTAAATATTTAGGTTACTCACGCTCACTTCTGGATTATGAACAGTTACTTTGGATGAGTTCAGAGAAGATACTGTACATAGCAGACCCCATTTGAAAGCACTCAGAATCAAAATGATCTGTCTAATTCCAGTTTACAAGTGATACCAGCATTGGTGGTGGTCTGCCTACTGACACAGGGCCTTTTTTCTGCAGCAAAGAACAAATTACAGATGTTGGTGTAAAACATTTTAAACATGTCAGACCTCATACTCTGAAGTACAAATTGTTCTTCAGACAGCATACATTTCAGATACTTGTCAAGTTTTGTTCCAAGTGACTTCCAGGAAAACTCATTCTTCATTTGGACAACATCCACACTTTTTTTGTTCTTGGCTATTTGAACTCCATCTCTGTGAGCAGACTGTGACATTTCACTGGAATATGAGCGTCTCATTAATTTATATCCTGATATAAAACTAGACTCATACTTCACATAGTGCACCTAATTTAATATCCATAGTTTACATGCTCATTCACAAGGCTTCACATGACTCCACAAATCAAGTACAATTTTTGTTCATGTTTACTATGTAAGTCTACAAATCATCAACTATTTAAAATGAAAAAACAAAGGCCGAGCAAATTGAAAATTTATTCTTGCATCTCAATGACAGTACAACGGTACAATTTCCTGGATATGCTGGCTCCAGAGGGAGAACTATTTGTATAGCTGGTAACATACCCATAGGAGAGCTTTGCATATATATTGGATATATAACCGTGCAGTGCAGTTCCCAAAATGAAACCTGAATTGCGACCCTTGAAGTTACTCAGGAAGCTGTTTTACATGTAAAAAACAATCCAGACCACCACAACTAAGATATACTAACAAACTTCATCAGGCAGAGTTTCAGCCTCTTTTGTATAAATAAAGAGGCTTGCAAATTGGCCCCCCACATCTCGATCTTTAGTGAAGCAGAATTCAATATGGATGAAGTAGAATAAAGGTGACATCAACAGTATGAATGACCATTTCATATTAGAAGTAAAAAATGCCGATTGCTTCAAAATGATTACTGAGGCACAGAACTTTCTTAATTAGAGCACTAATGTTGCAATGCTTCTGACACACAGCACTATCCTGCAATGCTGGGTCTCTGCCAGAAGCTAGCTTTAACTTGTTTACCAAAGTTTCATATCTAGATTCTTCACTGTAACAATCAGGTACTTTAGATTTTTTTCATTCTGTAAGACACATCACAGTTGAAAGATTTCAAACTGACATTTCCAGAGATATAGTGTTTATAATGAGCATGCATTAGTAACCCAAATTCTCCATGGAATGCTGAGCTTGTAGAACACCAAGCAGTACTGTTTTCTAAAGATGTAGGTCTTTGCAACAGGCTCCTGTATTCCACCACTTTTTTTGTTAGCCTTGCTGCACACCTTATACGAGTCTCACTTTCTGTCCATGCACTCCTCCAAAACAAGATTATATGGACTTAGCAAGAACCTCTTCAGCTAGTGAGTATTACTTTTAATGACAGTTTCTGAGAAGAAATACAAAATCTCTAGAAATTGTCTTCAACCAAAACCACTATCCCAAGCCAAACAAATCTATTGCTGTTGTTGAGGTATAAATACAATTTTGCACTGTTCAAATCCATTGGATTTTCAGGAGATGCATGCATTTTCTAAACTCCTGCGGAAATTCTGTCAAGGAGCTTCGTTATGAGTATTTCTAAAAAGGAAAGATCTGCACACAATACTCATGTCTGCTGAGGCAAAACGTCTCATAAGTGTTCACACACTTGGATTTTGTGTCTTGGCACTGATATTCTCTTGTCAACACCAAACAATGACAGCAGCTAATGAAGCCCCTTAGAAAACTGACTGTGACCAATACTTTTCTAAATCTTTCTCTTCCACGGTCCCGTAAGTGGTTAGCTTGGCGCTTCCCTCAGTAGAGGATTGACACCACTCTTCTCTGTGCAGACACGTGTTCTCAGGAACCCTTGATCAACTTGATTCAAAAAGGCTGAGGCAGTCAAAAGATACGGGGGAACAGATGACAAAGCCAGAATGCAAGCCTTGTTTCTTAGGAGAACAGGCTAAGAAGATAAAGCAGAAGTGAAAGCCTAATTTCTTATGATGACTGACATTTTGGCTTCCAATCTTCTCGGTGGTTTTTATCAATATTCCCATATCTACCAATATTCCCTGCTTTCTGTACTTTAAAAGTCTTGTACATCATCATCAGTGCTTTTACAAGATTTCCATTTCCACTATGAGCTAGTCACTCCCACACTTCCAACCTTTCACCACAATTCTTACTTTCATTGATATAAGACAGTCTGGATTCACATCCTCAGTTTCTGTACCCCAACAACTGAGTTTACCTTAAACAGATCTTTGCTACTCTAAGTCCACTACAATAAAAAGAGACAGAACACTCCTGTGGTGCAGCTAGGCAACTCCAGCACTTGTACAGCTGTATCTGCAACAGTAATGTGTTAACCTGCCAATTTAGCTCCTTAGCATACTGCCTGAAGCTCAGCAGTGAGCGCATAAAGCTGACAGACAAGTGGGAGAGGTTTAGTCTGGGAAGGTAAGAAACTAAAATACTATCCATCTAGACAAATATTTAGATGTGGGCAGACATAATTAAGGTTTCGTGCTCTAAAATATTTCTTTGCTCAGCAGTTCACTAGACAGAAATCTTGGAAGAACATTCAGCTTATAAACAGAAATAGTTATAGACACATAAATCTGGCAAATGCAAATACCCAAACTACTAGAAAAGCAACAAACATTAAAATCCCCAAACAATATCTATCCTAGGAGGCTGGAAAGAAAAAGTGCTATACTTTACAATAGACCGTCTTGGGTCTCAGGGCTTTCTCTTTCTTAATTATGAAGATGCAAGGCATCCCAAAATAAAATAAGAAAGAGAAATTCATTTGCTGTACCATTTGAAGGTAAAGACCTGTATTTCCTGAGAAGCCTTTGCAGATTAATTACATTACAGGCCAAAGTTTCCATTATCAAATAGAAAAAAAATAAGAGTATTTATGATTCTCTGCAAAAGCTGGAAGTACTAACAAAAGTGTACTTATAGTTAATACAATGTTGATTTCAAGAAAGCCCTATTATTAACGAAGTTTTAAGAGATGACTGCGGCTTGAAAGGTAACACCTCAAGGATTCCAGACAAAACCTTGAGTTCTGCATGATTACAGTTCTTAAGTTTTCAAAAGTTGCAGTTCCAACAACAAAAGAAAAAGAAAACTCTCCCAAAAGCAAAACCAAACTAAGAAAAAGCAGCTCACACATCATTTTGTGTGGATTTGGCAAAAATTTAAGATTAGCTAAATATCCTGAAAGTTCATACATATCATGAAAACCAGGAAAAGTGGCTTTCAGCAGCTGAATCCAGAACAAATTGCTTCTAGCAGAATATAACAAAAAGAGGAACTCAAATTTCCATTTCGGAATATAGCTAAAACAATCCTAATTTTGAGAACATTTTGACCAAAAAAAAAAAAAAACACAAACTTGCCACTTAGAAGAATGAAACAATGAGTGTGATCATTTTACTACTGAAGTAGCTGTCTGCCCAGTGCAGTCCATAGAGTCCAGTGTTCTATTTTCAGTATTCAGTGGCATGGAAGAGATGCTGCACATCAATGGGACAATTCAGTAGGAAGCAAGACTGACACACCTGCTAAGTGGTTAAGCCAAATTGCTGTTCTTTCATGGCAGTTATAAAAAAGGAAGTTACCTAAGCCCCAGTATGACCAGAGACAGTGGGTGATGATTGTAAGCTCAGCCAGATTTTATAAGCTTGGAATACAGACACAGTCTCCCTTGTCATTACTTTACTCATAATTCTACTGAGTTTTTACAACAAACAGCTGATAATACCTAGCTTCTCCGTGTAGAAAACATTAGCAACTGAGCTGCTGCTCAAAGAATTTCTTTCTGACCACTGTCAGCAAATCAACTGTGACTGCACTTTGATTACTGCTGTTAATATTAGAAGTGAAGTTCCACAACTGAGGCTAAAGGAAACTATAATAGGAATTTAGAATCTCACACAAAAGGTAAGAAACCGATTCTCTGTCCTGGGTTGTGTGTTGTAAAGCAAGTTGCAACAGCTGCTTTTGAGCTAAGACTATGAAAAGCCAGGGTAACTTTTAACGAAGTCGCTATCTTTGAGAAGCCAAAACTCAGAAACTGCTGGGTTTTAGAGTTCAAACCTCCCACACACAATGTAATCTGTAAGAACTGCTGCATGAATTAGTTTTCCACACAATTCAAGTTCACGTTACCAAACAAAAGTTTCATGTGCAGTTAAGTATTATGTAAACATAATTCAGTTGTTCCTAAACATAGCACTCTTGAAATCATATCAGCTAGATGTCAGGAGCCAATATACAGAAAAACTACTTATTCCAATTCTTCAAGCTCATACTAAGTAAATAAAGTGGGTTTTTTGCAAAATAAAAGCTCTACAGTTTAAGCCTCTTTGGAGATAAGAGGCATGAAAATAAGCTGCAGAACATAACAGAAAACTACTTGAGACCGAACACAAACAATAGATCAGTAAGGCAATTTTCCTCTGACTAAAACATAGCTATGTTAACATTGAAGTATCAACACAAAAAATGTCCAATTAAAATGTTTTTCCAGCATGGCTGCTTTTAACACCATAGAAAAGGACAGAAAAGTTGCCTGTACCTCAGGTATTTTCAACCACAGGTTCTGATACAGAGAAATCAGGGGCAAGAGGTATACCAGAAATGAGAACACTGGAACAGCGAAGACAAAAACTAGTCACTCTTTACAGATCTGAACATTCCTTGTTTCTAATGAGGTTCTGGAGTCTTGGATAGACTTCTCTCCTTATTGAACACAGCAGGCATTTCCACCCTGTCTGTTCCCAGATATGAAGGGAGGGCAAGGAACCTTGAATCCTTGGTAGAATCAGAACAATCTTCATCTGTGCTCCAAATACAGTTCACAGAAGAGGCAATGTTCTTCTCCTAGTGCCATACCTGCAAAGGACTGTTCAAAATACATGGGAAAAAGATTTTCCACTCCAAGATCTCCTCTCTAGCATACTGAACAATAAAGATAACACATATTTGCAAAACCAGAATAAAATATGTCGCATACCACCATATTCTAGGTATATATACAGCAGGTGTATTTTATCTGAGGACTGCTCCCTCAAAGGCCTAGGTTTATTTTCAGCTGTAAAAAAAAAAAACAAAACCCAAACCCACCCACCCTTCATGCATTGTATTCCCCATTACTCTTATAGACTTGGTTCAATGAAAAGTATTAGTAAACTTTAAATAAATGTTGTTTTCCAACCATTTTACCATAATGGCTAAAAGCAACATTCAACTATTTCTCAAATGATATAATGCAAGCCAATTGCAGTTTCCAGAACTAGGAACTATATGCACATGTCTTTGTCTAAGCAATTTCCTACCCACAATACCCATCCAGTAACAAAACCACAAAACCTGCCAGTATGCCACTATACAGGTCGTAAAGGACTCAATGCACAAGATATACACAGCTTTGTACTGTGGTCTCCAAACCCCACAATCATTTGCCCGTCAGTACTTTTTACAGGAGTTTGGCCTCATGAATTATCAGCACTAGAAAAAAAAAACCAAACACAAATGTGTATTCTGCTTATTACTCAAGCCCCAGTTCAAGGACACAGCATCATAGCCCCAAACACTGAAGCAAATGAGAAATACAAACTCTTGGCACAATAAAGAATCAACTCCCAGCGACAGAAACTACATGAACTCTAAAGAGGTACACCATACAAAATTCAAATACTACCTAATACCTTGTGAATTAAGCAAAGACTTGGGAATGTCTATATTTAAGTTTCATGTCTCATAGAATGCAAGTGGTAACAATCTGATAGCTGATTTGACAGTTGTAGCCTAGCATCCACTGATTTCCAAGAGTGAAACAGAAGGAAAATTAATGCAGATTTCCTAAGAAACAATCACTAGGTTTGCCATTTTAAAAGGGAGAAAGAGCAATAATAACTGGATTACTATGAATGTTAGCTAGGAAGCAAAAAGAAACAACCACAAAAACTAAAGGAACTCCTTGCATCAGGCAAGAACATTTGGCAGGCTATGAAAAATACTACAGTACTGTACATTTTTACTGGATCAACAGGGAACGAGACTGAATCCTGGAGGGGAAATGTATTTGGAGAAAGTGGAGCCACTGACTCAAATAGGAGTCAATGCTATTAAAGACATCAGCAAACAGGTAACAAAATACTATTAATCTGTCTTAAATTAAGGAAGCCCCTCATCTACAACTGAGAGAAATACAGTATTACAGTTACTCTTCCATGTTCCATTCAGCTCTGGGGCCCCCATCACAAGAAGAGCATAGACCTTCTTGTTCTAGCAAGTCCAGAGGAGGGCCACAAAGATGATCAGAAGGCTGGAGCACCTCTCCTATGTCTCCACAACAGGCTGAGTGAGTTGGGCTTGTTCAGCCTGGAGAAAAGAAGGCTCTGGAGAGACTCTATAGCAGCCTTCCAGTACCTAAAGGGAGCCTACAAGAAAGCTGGAGAGGGATTTCTTACAAGGGCAGGTAGTGGTAGGACAATGGGGAATTGTTTTAAACTGAAAGAGGGCAGATTTAGATTAGATATACCAAAGAAATCTTGTACTGTGAAGGTGGTGGGGCACTGGAATAGGTTGCCCAGAGAAGCTGTGGATGATTCATCCCTGTAAGAGCTAGATGGGGCTTTGAGCAACCTGGTCTAGTGGAAAGCGGCCCAGCCCATGGCAGGGCAGTTGGAACTGGATGATCTTTAGGGTCCCTTCCAATCCAAACCATTCTGTGATTCCTTCATTCTACAATTACAGCAGACACTTCAGTTCCACAACAATACCAGACAGTAACACTAATTACAAGGAAAGTACAGACAACTGAGTATGTCTCTACAGACTGAGAACGTGGAATTTTAAAAAAGAAAATAATCATCACCCAATCACTAGTTCAGTCAAACAACATTTATAAAAGCCCCATTTCCAAATACATCCTCACAAAACTCTAATAATTTAAGCACAGAACAAGGTAGTAAATCATGAACTTGCTAATGAGGCACAAACAAACAGAACCTTATGACTTGGTAGCTAAGCATATGTAAACTCCTGCAAGAAATCTGAATTGATGTTACAACCAAAGTAACAAGTAAGCTAGTTTTAGTTTTTAGTACAGGCAACTTATGTAGACCTGGGAAACAGAACAATACTTTTACTAATGGTATCCAAAACCACAAGTATGCATTCTTTCATCATCTATGACTCCCATGTAATTCAAGTGTTAATTTCACAATTAACACACGTTTACCTTTAGGTATGGTTGTTAGTTACGTAGTTGTGAGATTTCCACCTCATCTTTTTCTTGGGAACTTTCAAGCAAATTACTGTTACAGATCTACCAGTAAATTAAATATGCACTTGAAACCGTGTGAAATCAATTACTGAACTTCACAAGAATGACAGATTATTAAATTTGCATACACATTTTTTTAATTGAAAAAGGTTACCTTTCTATGCTTTGCACCACCATAGTGTGACTGAAGACTTATAGAACTCCTACGTGGAACCTTACAAACCCCAAAAGACAAATTGAAAAATCTTCAGTTATGCTATAGATACTCTGTAGTTAGCGAGTTATAAGAACTGGAAAGACATCTGTTTCTACAGCATAATTCTCAAAGTCTTCTTTTGCTGAAACAGTACAATTTGTGTGAAAATAGTACAATTTGTGTGAAAATAGCATACCACTAAAGTGACAAGAAATAGTGTGCAAACCTGTCCAAATGGTACTTAAATACATTTAAACATACCAGGTGGTACAAATCTAAAAGCCCACCCTCCCCTCCCCGCCTACCACCACCTTCTAGATTCTTAGTTTTCTAAACTTCTCCAGGCTGGAAAGCCAACATGAAGTGGTGATCATATAGTGACTACAAAGGAACAGAAACAAAATTATGCCCTAGAGCAACTGCAACTCTGTTCATTGTTACATAAAAGGGACCAGAAAAACAATAGAGTAAGACATTTGCATTTCATTAAAATCCACAGACACACATACACCAAAATAATTAATGGAAGACAGTACAGATCTACAATTATTTCTTACTATCTTTAGTTAAAAAAAAAGCAATGACTAATATATGTTAATATTGTCTATTCTCTTGAGATATTGTCCCAGAAATTTAGAGGACCAGAAAAAAAAATCACTGCCCAAACATGACTGAGAAATTTAACATGTTCTGACCCAGAGCTGTAGCCTTCATAGATACATGAGCCTTTATAGTCACAAGAAACACTTCACAGAGATTTGAAAGGTTATAATTAAGGACCATTATATCGCACCTGTGACTGCTCAAGAACGAAGTGAATTCACAAGATCCTAAGACAAGTAGCTCTTCCAGGATCAACCACATTATTCTCCACATTAATGACTCAACTTTCAAGTTTGGCACACAGTTAGGTCTGTATGTCTGAGAGCATGGACATTAATACCTCAGGCCTGCACTTCAGCATGCATTCTGAAAAGTTACCAAGAAACACACTCACTTCACAGTAAATTTTTTTTTTTTTCTCAGATTCCAGTTTACGATCTTCTGGCTTAACTTCTTCAGTCAGTGTTCGTCCTGCAAAACTGGTTCACTGCATACAATGAGAAAACAATGCCAATATGAAGCCAGCTCTCGCTTATACGGTACTTTTCAGCAAACAACTGGGGACACAAGGGAAGCTTTAGTTGGGTGAATTAAGTCGGCTTCATCTAGAAACGCTTTGGATCACCTTTTATCACGAGGACTCCTTTATATCCTTAAGCCTTCTGCAGAGGTTTCTCAGAGAGGCCGGCCACCACAGTGCACCGCTCTCCAGCCGCGTACACCCCTCGCTGCTCCCGCCTTCCCCGGCAGCCGGTACCTCAGCGGCAGCCGGTACCTCAGCGGCAGCCGGTACCTCAGCGGCAGCCGGTACCTCAGCGGCAGCCGGTACCTCAGCGGCAGCCGGTACCTCAGCGGCAGCCGGTACCTCAGCGGCAGCCGGTACCTCAGCGGCAGCCGGTACCTCAGCGGCGCTCCCACCCACTGCCCCCTGGAGCCTGCTCCATCAAGCAGGGCTCACCGAGGCTCGCCGCCACCGCCCTGCCGGCGCGTCCCCAGCCGGGCCGGTACCAGCAGCACCCCTACCAAACGCGACCCCCGTGCCACCCAAGAGCAGACACTAACTACCCCCACTTCCGCTGCTCCACAGCAAACCGGGAGCCGAAACCCGGCACAGACAGACGCCACGCCCCGGTGATAGGCAAGTAGCCAGTAGGAAAGAAGCTCCCCACCTCGACCAATGGGGAGCCAGCATCGAGTACGCGCGGCAGGGAGCTGAAGCCCTCCCGTCCCTCCCCGGCAGCTCCCTGGCGACCCCTGTCGGGCCGGAAAGTAACTGCCGCGCCCCCCGCATCGCAGCGCCGTACAACAGGCAGGCAGGGGTTGGCAGCGGGGTGGTGGTGTTCGGAGAAAGGGGCAGGTAGCGCACTCGGCAACGGCTTTAATTTAAATGCAAATATTTATTTTAAAATGTCTTGACTTTACACTTCCGACCGGTAATAAATGTAAAATATAATTTAAGAAATACACTTGGAAGTTCCTTCTAAAAGCAGGCTGAGAAAACAGCACGAAAACAAAAAAAAAAGTTAATCAACAGAAAAGTGCACTGGTTTTAAACAAAATGCCAAAATACCGAATCCACGATTTACTGCCTGCTTTTTAATAGCCCGCTAGTGATATACCTGGACGTCTATTATACTTGTATATGAAGCAGCATAGTCGATAATGGTTAGGTTACATGTTACCGAAGGTATTCCTGTGAACTGTGGCTGGGTTGACTTCCTTCCCCAAGGCAGCCTTTGGGGCTGGGGCTGTGCCTGCCCGCTACCGGCCGGCCTCAGTATTTGAGCTGTCAAAGCAACCAGCATGTGAATCGCCTGCCTAAATGCAGGCGGAATGGGCACAAACTGGTATATACGTTTTCAGTAATGCTCAGGTCGTTGCGGTGCTCCCTCCAGAAACGTGCTCTGAATTTTGCGGATTATGCAATATGAGTTAGGCCAAAACCGCTGCTTGATCTCCATGTCCTCCACTGTGTTTCTTCAGGAAGAGTGGGAATGGCATTTTTAAAGCAGGATTATTAGAGTTTGATGGTAGATTATGCCTCTTTTCAAGATGAATGATGATTTTTTTTCATGGTCATTTCTGTAACATTAAAATGCTTGATAATTTTTTGTGGTTCTAATCTCAAAATCTAAAATGGGCTAATTGAAAACACCGCAGTATACATATTGTGTAATGCTTCCATACCCTTCTTAAAACAAAATACAAATTAAAAGTGCAATTGCACAGTGAAAGAATAAACACATATAGAAAAAAATTGCAAAAAGCAAAAAAGGAGAAAATGACTTTTTGAAAGGAAGACCATGGCTAAACACCAAAGAATTTGGCTGCAGGGGAATTTCAGGTTAGGTATAAGCAAGAAGTTCTTTACTGTGAGGGCAGTGAGGCACTGGAAGAGATTGCCCAAAGAAGTGGTAAATGCCCCATCCCTCGCAGTGTTCAAGGCCAGGCTGGATGAGGCTTTGACCAACCCGGTCTAGTGGGAGGCATCCCTGCCCATGGCAGGGGGCTGGAGCTAGATGATCTTAAGGTCCTTTCCAACCCAAACCATCCTATGATATGTACTTGCGGAACTGAACTGTTGGTGGCAGCTCAGAGTTTCTTGGCAGTACAGTCTCCTTAAGAGAGGATGTTTCACCAGCAAAGCGACCTATTTTCTGTTGTAGGAGTTCTGTGTAGTTAATGAACACCTCTGTCTTATTAAGGATGGCAGGAGGGTAATGGAGGATTGCAGTAATGCTTCATACTGAGCTAGAGGAAGGAGAAGTTTTGTTAATGGACACAACTGCCTTTAAAGAAGAAAGTGTTCCTTGATTTTGTTAAGTAGCTGTGCAGGAGGGAAGATATGCGAGGAAGGACCCTTTCAGAAGAAAGAAGTTTATTGACTACCAAGAGAAAGAACCTTAATGTTTATGATAAGAGAACTGGATACTGCTACTGAGAACTGAGATAACTTTTGCCTTTTTGAAGTTTGGTCTCAGACAAGATTTTTTAAAGACACAACAGTTGATGCTTGCCTCTTCTTATCTCACATTTTAAATGAACAAAAGAAAACATGAGATTCAGAAGGAAGACACAGGGATATAATTCCTATGACATCCTCCTGTGCAAAAATAGGGAGCTCTAGACCAGTGCTTTAGCTGACTTTTTTAGCATAGCCTCTAATTAGTTAAATACAATTACCGAGGCTAACTATGCAGCTGGTGTTCTTTCCATTACCTTCTGCCACATTTTTGTATTAGTCATTGGAATACCATAATTCTACTAGTAAAAATGTGAAACTGGAAGTTTTGGCTGTTACACAGCTGTCCCTGGAGCCCCATTGCATCAAGGAAATCCTAAGAAACTTCAGACTGCACAGTCAGAGCACCAGCTGCACAACTGAGCTACAATTACCAGCAGTGAGAGTGTTAATGCAGGTGCTGAATTTGTCAGAATTTTAAAGACTAACCCCAGGAAAGGAGCAGGAGCACTTCATGCCTCCTAGAATGATGTTTTGTCTGATTGAGAAGTACAACTTAGCACTGAATTACTGCAATCTTTGTTTTTAAGAAATTATTTTCAGCCTGAAAAGTTACAAATTCAGTTCTACATCAAAAATAAGGACATGGTTTCAGAGCAGAGTTATTAGTGGTGGGTGGAGAATTCATGCTGTAGTCACAGAATAATTACTCTTTGACAGCAATATATCAATCAAGGTTATCTTTCTCCCAAAAATCTGTCTTAATCCATTTTTTTACTTTCCCTCCTAAACCTCTATCCAAAGGAAATCTTTGTCTAAGCACAGGCAAGTCCTTGGGTCTCTGTATGTTTGGGTATCTTTCAAAAGTACTTTGTGAGTTTAGTATATTTGTGTATACATATATATATATGAACAAATGCTTTGTTCAGAGGTATTTCTGATAGCATGATAGGGAAATGCATTTATAATGAGAAGAACACATGCCATGTGTGCTCAAGCACAACAAAGATGTGTTTGTCAGGGTGGTAGTGTCTGTGAACATAAGCTACCAGCAGCCCCCCCCATCTGAATCTCCTTCAGCTAGGTAAAAGCCTTGTGACTATAACCTGAGCATGACCACCTGCAGAATCTCTTTGCTCACTACCCACATTGCAGAAGTCTGCTTCAGTTGTGACACATGATTTCACATAGGATTTTGCAAGATTTAAAAGAGAGGAAGAAACTCTACGGGTAGAAATTCCTTTTCCAGTGAGAAATTTTCTACAGTCTGGTTTAGGTTCAGAGTTTTTGTCTCAATATAATCAGAAGAGTCTTTCCATTTTGAATGTTTATGCTAGGACAGTAGGGAGAAAGAGAAGAAGGAAGCAGAAAGAAAAGACAAGAACAACAGAACAACAGCTCTATACCACCATCATTCTGAGATTGTGGTTTTTAGTTATATCACACTGATGAGAAACAATTAAGTACGTTAACTTTTTTCCCACTACCTAAGGCAATGTATGTATTTGTAGGTAGGTTGGGTTTTTAACTATTCCAATTAAAACATCACCCACTGTTAAGACAATTCAATGGCTTTTCTGAAGTAGCTATATTGAGTGAGTCTGTACTACTTAAGTTCTAGTATGGCTTCAATATGACAAGTTAAGAAAGGCTTCCAGGCAGCAGAAGCTGACCTTATCCCACAGAATATTCTTTGCCTCAGGCTTGTTGCCTCTCATTTAAGTATTTTAAGCACTAGGAATTTGCAGAATTGCATGTGCCCTGTTGCTCTTCATACCGTCAAAAGATGAGCACCCAAAGGCTTACTGAAGCGGCTGATGCACAAATGTCATATTTCCCTATGACACCCAGAGGCGATTGATTAATTTCTAAAGATTTTCAGAATACATTACTGTGTTCTAATGAAGGGTGATTAAACCATAGACATATACTTTGCACTGCAGCATTACAATCAAGGAGTAGGAAGTCAGTCTTTCCTGCAGAGACTATAGGTACAGTCCCTTGATCTTTCATTTCACTAGTTGGATCTCCAAACTGAGGACCAACTGAAACCAGCTTACCTCTTGCACACTGCTGCCCTCACTCAGATGTTCAAAACAAAGCTCTACTTTGGTATCCAGAGAGTCTAAAGTGAATATAAATGCTTGGTAGTGTTATCTACAGTGGAGGTCTTCCCCAGTTTCAGCCACTGGTAACTGCACCCCAGCAAACCTTAGAAGCAGCAGGAAAATCCACTCTTTTTGTTGGACAAGTTTACTCTTGGCTCAAATCAGGTTGTTTTTTGGTAAAAATAGTGCTTATAATGGTGTACTTCAGTTGGACTAGCATTCATATGGCGCTCGACAGCTGTCCACTGACAGATGAATCAGGCCACATTCGCAGTATAGACAAGACCTTATTCAGCAGCTTTAGCATTGATAATAGTCTCTGCTGTCTGTGGACTGAGCAACATCTCAGAGGGAGACACATTCTTTTAGAGCTTTTAGAACTGCTCACCTTCCATATAGAAAAAATATGGATGAATATCAAAAAATATCCCCGAACACAAGAATTCATTAGCTCATTCTGTCTCAACCTCTGGAGTGTTTATGGCTTAGGAAGTTTGAATACTGTCATCAGTCAGGTGTTAGAAGCACACACTGGAAAAAGAAAGGCATTTCTTGGAGCCTCTATGCTCCAAGTTCCTATCAGGTTGAGTGTTTGACTAGGAATTTCTTCTGCAAGAATACTTTTTTATTGTTGTTACAATAAATACATTTGGAGGCTCTTAAAACAGACTTTTGGGCTGTGTTTGAGGGATACAAATACCAGCTCATTAAGGGCTAAACACGAGTGACTGAAGGAACTGATCTTTGTTTACTATCATAGTAACATATTGACAGTGGTTAGCAGTTGTCCAAAAAGAGGATAAACTGCTGATCACTTTATAAGCACAGTTCTTAGGAGACTGATGGATGTGTGTGATAATTTATAAAGAATTCCACTGATACCACATATTTTCATGTGAGACCTGGAATAACTACTCAGCCATAAATTAACTGGGCCAAATTCAAATGTGATGTGCAGGATTAGTGTGTTTGGGTTCAGACTTTATGGAACAATAGGGAAGCAAACCTGACTGATTTACACAGTAGGGAGTCAGAAGGTGACATCGCACTTTTGAGTCACACGTTCATCCATCCTCCTAGAAGAAGGCTGTTACATCTCTTAAATTAGATTCTTTTACATGCAGAAGCTTCATCTACCTCTATAATATCAATTAAGATGTGTAAAATATGTCTGTATTTGTTGGAAACATGAGAAAAATCATCCCAACTGAAGTAAATCAGGAAAAGGAAAGCCTTAAAGTAGGTATTTATGTTAACAAAACAGCCTTCATTCTGTAACAGAATGATCTGTACAGAACTTCTGTTGTTAATATATGTTGTTCCACACTGAAGAGAGAAATCTGGCTGGTATAGATGTCCCATTGTAGTCACGTCAGGAAATATTTCTAAGCACAGATGAGGCATTCTGTGGCGCAGTCCTCTACAGAGCTGCACCTGATTTAAACACTTACATTGTGCAAAATGGCACCAGCACGCCCAGATTAGGACAACAGTGTTTTACAGTCATTGCATCAATGTAAATGATGAGAGAAAGGTGCAAGGTAGTGCAAAACCAGGCCCAGGTACTCTCTCTTAGAGGGGTGTGACAGTGAGTCCAAGCATGGAATTAAATGAGCAGCTTTTCAGCAGTCTTGCTGTACATAAGTAGCCAGTTTGCTTGCCTGTAAGCATTTCTGCAGTTTGGCTTGAATTGATGTGATGTGAACAGCGGTGTACCAGAGAGCCATGTAAATTCCACCATTGTAGTCTCACTTCAGAACATGTCTGATGTTGCACTGCACCCACTGGCAGCAGTATTAAAGCAAGGATATCAAGACTATCTTAAGTAAGAAGCAGCACATAGCCAACAGGAAACTGATTTACCTCAGACACACACAAAAAAGTATGTTTTCATGGCTTGGTTATGGTCAGCTGGACTATGGCAGAATTAATTTGAGCTAAAGTAAGATATTATTGTCCCTCTTTACTGTGGACTCTCGTCTTTTTGCTGGGAATACTGCCTTCTGCAGGACAACCATCAAAAGGTACCATTTCAGTGTAAAGTGCAGCATTTCAGATCAAACGATTGTTCACAAGCACTTAACTGACATGCAAAGAATGTAAACTTTGCATCTGTCAACTCTAATATACAGGCAATAATTTCTATCAGAGACGACAGATAGTTCTGGAGAAGAGCAGCCTCCCAGGTGCAGAAACATTCCCCATAAACTACACTTATCGCACATATTTATAGCATTTGGGAGAAGTTTATGCCACTGTTCTGGCATGTAAAGCCATGCCTTTAGTGACTAGCAGGTACAGAAATGAAGACATTATAATTATTTATAATATTTTGAAAAGAAAACTTTCATTATAGGGTTTCTTTCAAAAAGCACATATACATCTAAGGTTTTTTTTGGCCTTTTTTAAAAAATGATGTGGTTTTTATATAGGTGAAGTTGATATAAAGTTGACATAGTGCAATTTTAAAACAAAAGTTAGTGCAGGAGTCAAACTACAACAACAATAAAAACCAAACCAGAAGTTGTACTCTTTTTTTCTTTTTTTGGTGGAAATACATTACTGCCTGGGTTCAAAGGAGAGCATCAGATCTGTTTTCAGAAAAAAAACTTTGTGCTTTTGAAACATATGCATCCTCCAGTTAGCTCTTGGTTTAAGAGATTAAGATTTTATTTTGAGAATGAAACTAGGATGCTTTTGAAAATAAGATATGTAATCTTAATGTGGTGTTTGGTTTTGATGCCAGGTGACAATATCTAACAAGCTGTTATCAATCAAAGAAATACTATCAAATTAAAAAGTGCATTTCCTTTGTTAATGTTACAAATAACAGCAATAAATATTGGGGAAATATTTTCTTCTCATGTACATTTTACAGCATTGGTAACTCACAGAAGTGGGTAACATTCCATTGTTCAGTCTTTCGAACAGCAACATGAAAGGCTGATGGCTTTAGAATGGAAAAATATGGCTGCTAAAACATCAGTATTATCAAGGAAACTTGGGAAGAACTTCAGTTTGAAGTGAAATAATTTCTAATGCATTTTATGAAAGTAATTTGTTTTAATTAATGCTATCCTGTTGCCATTAGTTTAATGCTGAGATAAAGGTATAGAAGATGCTTCTTACTAGAATAGCAAAAAACTAAAAATACAAAAACCACTAAGGTAAACTGGCCGCACTGAAGACCATAAACATTTTAGGTTTGCACAGAGACATCCATATCAGCTTCAGAAAACAAAAATGAACAAAGGCACGAAACAGAAATAGCTAGACCTTGGCAATGAATTGTAGACATGAGAGGAGAGATGATAAAAGACAAATTAGCATGTATACCTGTGCAGTGAGCAGTGATTATTTTTCTGTGCCTGAGGTTTTATCTTTCTTTCTTTCCAAAGATCACTAAGAGAAGGGTAGTAGGGCAGTACAGGGTATATGATGTGTGTGTGTCTGTGTCTGTTTTTTCTCATACACAGATGCGCACACACACACACACAAAATCTTTGCACTGGCTTTTAATTTTAGTAAATTATTTAACCCAAGTGGAAGAGAACCTACAACTTCATGCTTTTAACATTATAAATACTCCAAAAGTTATAAAATCTATTGTAAAAATGTACATTCAGTGGTTTTATGAGGCACAGGACCTGCTAATGTATTTTCAGGGAAGCTCATTTGTATTCTGTTCTGTCCACTGCTGGACAATGGTGGAGAATCCAGGGGTTCACGCTTGATTGCTTGAACCAAGCAGGGTTTTTTAAATTCACACGGCATTTTAAACCCCTCATTATTCTGCTCTTTCTCCTCTCCTGGGCTGGGGCTGTAGAAGTGGCCATAGCAAGCCGTGTGTGTCAGGTCGGGCATGCTTTCCAAACACCCGGAGGAGTTCTGAGCATAAAACGGGGCCACCTCCTTGCTACGTGAACCCTTGCAAGATCTGTTCAGGTTTAGGTTGTTGGGATGATTTGCTACAATGCACTGCCAATTATGCGGTGTGTAAAGGCAGTGCCTTGGCTTCTGACAAGGTGAGGCTGGCTCGCAGAGGTCCAGTTCTGTTTTGAGATGTACTCTATTGGGGTAGCTAAACACCTGCTTTCTCACTGAGCTGTTCTCATCCACCCAGGCTCGGTTTTGTGAGATCAGGTAGTTATCAGCAATGTTTTCAGAATCAGAATCATATTCCGTTTTGATAGGCATCTCCAAGGGAAAGGCTGTGTCATAGAAAGACTCTGAGGATATGAATGGTCTCTGCATTTTCAGATGGTCCGTTGCATAGTTCTCCGCACAACGTTGTTGTACACCTGAGTAAGACTGGCAGCTTTCTGTGCTCCCCCAGTGGGAAGGACAAGTTGATGCTAAGTTTAAGAAGCTTTGGTCTCTGTTGTAGAATGATCCAGCTCTCCTGTTTGAACATGTGTTCATTCGCTGGCTCATAGAACAAGAGCTTGAGTTTCTTAAAGTCCAGCTACTGTTTGTGGTGCAGTTGCTTTGAACACCTAAAACTGATGTGTTGGAACTGAGAGGTTCCTCTTGCATAAAACACTCACCGTTTGTATGTGGCTCAAACTTCACTTTTACATTATCTTGTTCATTTTTTACTGCTGTCCAGTTAAGATGCTTCCACTGGCCCAGAGTTTCAATGGCGCTGTTATAGGAAAGCCCCTCCAGGTTTCCTTTCAAACTGGCAAAACCACTTAGTATCTTCAGTTGTTCATCTTCTTCCCTTTCAATAACAGTTACAAAAAAAAAAAAAAAGAAATTGGTCAATCAGAGGTTTCTACATGGATGTTTTCTAGTATACAAATGGAGTGGATCAACATACCTTACAAGCAATATATTTGTTGTTAACTTAATGCGGGACTCTCACGCTTTTGTCCCTATAACCTTTGCATTTGTTCAAGGGAAAAAATGAGTGTGCATGCATCTGGATTTCAGTGTGTGCACAGCTACCTTTTCTGTGGCACTATTTCATTGAAATTCTGACATGAATTTACTCTTCCATTTCAGGCACATAGTTCACAAAGACCTTAAATATTGTAGTACAGTATGGTAACTACCTTACACTTTTGTTCTTCCTTTAAAATCAATCTAAAAAATATTTTTGTGTAGAAAAATCTAGAGATAAAATGCAAAGAGTATCTTAAAGGAGATGCATTTTGTTAACAAAGAATTATTTGGACACATAAGGACTTTCTGATCAAAATGATTTGAGGGAGAACCATGGGGGTCTTATATTTTGAGAATGCAAAGTTAGATGAGAGGAAATAAGATGCCTAAATTAAGTGGCCAGAGTAGTCACAGGTGTTCATGTTGAGCATAATTTGTTTCACATGTCAAACTTAACTTATGTTGCCTTTCGTTTTCTAAGATGGCCAGGGAATTAATTTTCCATAACCTCCAGCTGAAGTACTCAGTATTATGAAAAAGCTCTGTCAAAGTTGCCTGAGCGTTTCCAGCCCAATGCAGGTGGTGTTCAGACCTTCAGGTTCAGGATTTGTCTTGAATTCACTAACGTGCTGATTCCAGACCAGGCAGGATCAGTGCTACAAAACCAACGCCTCCCTCCCCGAACAATAAGTGGACTTCTCAATAAGAAAGGAGCATGAAAACCTGGAGAGTTAGTAAGCTGTTTATAAGGCTTATTTCTTGGCTCTCTAGTAAAAGCTGCCGCCTTGGGTGCAAGTGTAAGATTTTCCAGTAGAGGGAGTCCATGTTGCTAGAAAGAGAGAATGTCCCACTGTAATAAATTTACACCAAGAAAGGAGAATATTTTCTCTCTTTTTTAACATGAGAAATTAAATATTTTCAGTCCTTTAATAGCTGTTATTATTGCTATTATCTACAGTCTTGATATGTAAATGGAATGATACAAGTTTGCTGCAGAACTAGCTTCTCAGGAAATGGACTAATTAGCAAGCAATGGACTGATGAAAATGCAGTCATCACAAAAACTGAGATCCCAAATGAAGAATTTTACAGTGAAATAGCATCTAGTTAAAATTCTCCAAAAGAATGTATGTATGTTCCCAGGAAGGCAGCATACATTTAAAAAAAAAAACAAACAAACTCCTAAGGAGTAGTAGTAAGGATGAAGTCTATTGCAGGCTATCAGAAAGACAGAACTGAATATAACTTCCACGGGCAGATCTTGTAACACTCCAGTCTGCAGGAACTATCAAGCACAAAGGAAAGATTTTAACCACTCAGAGAGTAAAAATGACCCCGCCTGAAGTACTGTGTTTAGCTGTGGAAGGCCGGGTGGGATGGGGCTTTGAGGAACCTGGTCTAGTAGGAGTTGTCCCTGCTCATGGCAAGGGGGGTGGAACTGGATGAGCTTTAAGGTCTCTTCCAACCCAAACCATTCTATGATTCTATGATCAAAGAGCATGCTTAGTTACACAAAAAACATTTTAGAAGTGGAGACTTGTATATAAGAAACATCTACTTTTAATCTGTTCCTTAATAGAAGTTCATTCCTTCACACAGCAAGATGATGTTTGTGCTGTCTCAATAAAGTTCCACCCTCAGGTGGAAGCTCTTCTGCTATTCATGTGGATACTGAGTGATACGCTGCCTGCAAGGGATAACTACGCTGGAAGTTCAAAGACTTTTTCATTTATTTTTTCCACCTGTGAGACATCCTAACTCAGTGATATCAGCCACATTTTTTCCACTGGGCCAGATGGTGACTATGTACACCTGGCTCCTGCACATTCAGTCCACTCGATATCTCTTCCCTCAGACTAGCTTAAAGAGATGCCTCAACAAGGCCCACAAGAACTGGAACAGACAATCCCATGGGGAAGGAAGAAAAGCTGATTTGGGAGGGAAGGGTAAAACACACTGGGGAAGTCCTCTCTGAATGCATATTTGTGAGATTAGCTTCCAGTCCAAGGCTGAGCCTACAACCAACTAGATGTATCTATCTACAAACATACAATGAATAGGAACATCCCTGTTTAGATTAGGTTGAACATCCACACCTAAAAATATGAGCTTGACTGTGAGTCATAAAGACAAAAAAAAAAAAAACAACAAAAAACAAACCTTAACATCATCAAATGTTTAAAAGTAGAAAAACTAGGACACTGAATCAGCAGAGAGTTTCAGCTGCAAGTAAAACAAAGCCACAAAATATACTTTTTTGTGCAAGAAAGTAAAAACATATCAATAGCCAAGCATTTTGACTTTGAAGTATTCTGGTTTAGTGTGTATTTACATTCTATTTCAGGAGAAAAGAAGACTTAAGAAAAATAAAAGATACTGTTTAGGATTATAACAGCCATTTCATACGATCCAAGACAAAAATGGATTCGCATTTCAAAAGTGAAGCAAATCCTCATTCAGCTCTCGTCTTAGGTCATGACAGGCCTTTCAAAGATCTCATACATGAAGAATACATTATTTTGCTGAAACATAGAGTGGTTTTAGCATTGGAAAATATACTTACTTTAACATTTGCTGTTGGGCAAGGACATACTCTGAACAACCACTTCGATACAGAAGTTGAGTGTTGGCTTGAACCCAGACCCAGTGATCTTCACTTTTTTGTACTTTGACTAGAGAAATGCCATTTTCTCCATTATTCTTCGCTATACAATTTAAAAGAAAATCTATTTTAATACAAGCAGTATTTAATATTTTTTCATACCTAAACTATGGGTGAATGTTCACATGTTTTGTTGCTGCTCTGGAATCATCAGCATAGGAAAGTACAAGCTAAAACATGTCACAAAACAGGGCAAATTACATAAAAAAAAATAATTGGAAAAGCCTAATGAGGAACCTAAACTGTAACCAAGGATTTTGCAGTATTATTCGTTCATTATAATTTTTCCCTCTCTGTAGTAGTACTAGCCAACAAGAAAGTGTGTATGAAAAATGGTGCTATAACAGAGGAATGGTTTTAAAGAAGTTAAAGACTTTCAGCAGGTATGACAGAAGGCTGAGCACAACTCTACTCAAGAATAAGATGCCCATTGGGGTAGACTCACCATCAAAATTTAATCCATTGTAAAATCTGAAATACAGCATAGACTCTCATAATATTGCCACAGCCAAACGCTGGAAAAACATGAGTCAAAGCTGCAAGCAAGTCATGAGTTTTAAAGACAATACTTTCTAATTTTCTTTGGTTTATGATCTTTGGAAAAAACTAGCATGTGTAACATGTCATCCAGTTTTCCTCATAGAGGGATAGATATTGTCATTAAGATTTTCACATAATCTCACTAAATTAAGTGCTGCCATTTTTAGGAAAGCATAAATTGAGCATATACTGTGTTGTTTATATACCTGTAAACTTGGCATAACAGTATCTATTTCCACTCTGAAATAGCAGACTGATTCAGTACTACCTTTTGAGGCAGACAACTTTTTTTTGTGTTATTTCAAAGAAGGGATTTTTAAAAAAAGAAAAAAGACAGCATTTGGAACAAAACCTGAAAAACTTAACAGGAGAAAAGACAAGGTTCTTTCTGCGTACAGTGTATATAATCCAGTAGTACTTTGCAGACACACCTTTGATTTGGTTTTCAGCAATCTGTAATACATTAGTGAAAGCAGCACCTTCATGATGACTGTTTCTTCCATATAAATCTGCTGCTTCACACAGCCCTGAATTACTTTTGGAACTGGAGCTGTAGAAGACAGAAAATGTGGAAAATTCCTTGTCAGTGAATGAGAACACAGCAGAATCATAGACTCTGAAAGATGGGATCTTCAAGCTGTTGACCATTTGTAAAAATTTATGTTTGAAGTATATAGTAACCAGTACTAAATAATTACCCCTGTTTCCTGCATTGTTTGGTTGCTCAAACTAGTGTGTGACTGGAATTATGTATTCAATGAAGAAGAACAGTTGTGCTTAGGAATATTCTGCTCATGACTTACTATATCTGGAATAATAAATTTCAGCTTCAACTGAAACAAATTCTGTGTATATTATGCTCTGCCTATTGAGGTTACATTCGAGGTACATACATCACACTGACCAGCAATGTACTTAAGAGTTAGCATGACTTCAGCTTGCAATAATCATCATATAGTTTGAATGGATTTCTTCCAATCTTTAGTTCAAAATGCGTATTAAGGCTTCGAAACAGTGCTAAGTCCATAACACTGCTTTACCAATTTTTCCCCTTATTAAGTCCACCATTTAAAAAATTACTATATAAATTTGCCCACTGCCGCTGGCTAGAATGCTTCAGGCCTGAACCAAAGGAAATGCTGAAGTTAAATGCCTGCTTCATTCTTGTCAAATCCCTGGCCACCATCCAGCTCATTAGCAAAACTTAAGTTCAGCACCTCTGTTCTAGGAACTGAATTCTGATCATCAATTAATTTCATGTGGGCCATGGAAAAACCAGCAAGTGGAAACGACATTTCAACTCTGTACCAAAAACCTGCATAGTCCATTAAGTCAGCCTTCCAGTAATTTAATTCTTGTAAAAACGATGCATGTGCTAGACCCACATTACCCATCTGGATAGTAAATCCACACATACGTGAGCATATTCTAATTAAAAGCCAAATTATGATGCTGTCAATGACACTGATGAGCTTTTTACCCCATAGCAATAGACCTCATTTCCATAAGGTTATATTTAAGGAAATAAGGAAGTATCCAAGTCCAAATAATTGTGCTACCAGAAGATACTGAGATTTGAAAACTGTTAGTAAAAATACCTTTTCTTTTCCACTTTTACAACCAGTAGAATGAATTATTGCATTGGTAACATCTGATGGTTAGGAAGATATCCCAAAATTCCAATTTTTCTATAAAATTATATATATAGTAATATAATACTTAACATGTGTTATATATAAGGTATATTAAGGCTATATATTATAACATAGTTATGTATTATGTAATTTAATCCATATAAATTATTCACATTTCTAAGAAAAATTTTTAAAATGGAGAGTCATTTAGTCTACTTTGTGCTTTTCACATGCTTAATAAACATAAAGCCCATAGTATAATTTAATAGCAGCTAAAAGATTAATTTGAAAATACTTTGTATTCACTGCTGCTGCATCATCAGATTTATGTTTTGCTTTCACAAGTAGGCTTTTCATCTTCATCTCTGTCACAGAAGGGAGCAGAAGTGGTACCACTATGCAGAATAATGACAGCTGAGGTGGCAATACTGTTCCTGATGAGGACTTCTTCCTTTGTCCAAAAAGAAACTTTAGTTTGCCTTGGAACTGCATTGTCTGTTTTACAAAGAAAAAAAAAAAGAAAAGAAAAAAAGAGAAAAAAATTATCTTGTGCATTTAGTGTTTAAACATTTGAAATTATAATACAACATATGGACCACGTTGTTTAACACCAGTTTTGAAACAGGGAGAAAAACTAGGAATCTCATTTTCTACATGGAGTTTAAACCATGCCATTTCAGAGGCATGGTGAGTGGAGGTACTATCAACAGTAAAATGAGACATTCAAGGCTGGTTTTTGTTTTTGTCTCTCCTGCATATTTAAAGTAGAAGTTCTGTGTTATGTTCTGTACAGGCAGTGTACGATGGTGCAAACAGTTATTTCCTCTGTGCCTCACTCTGAAGCTGGAACTTTTAGATTTCCATGCTCTGTTCTCTCCAGTGAAATGGTTCCTGAGTTTCTTTCTTCTTGCCTGCACTTTCTCTGGGAAGTATATGGACTGGCATAATCCAAGGGCTGCGCAGGCAGATGCCAAGGCAAAAGATATGCCCAAGATGACCAGATACAAAGCACATAGCTTGGAAGAAGCTATCTGTCCCTGCCTCAAATCTTTACATAATCAGAAGGCAGAGATCAAATTATTAACTTGAGCAGCAAACTGCTTCCTCTCAGTGAAAAAAATGACCAGAGAAAAATCAGTCCATTTGAGTTCGGCTTTTTCCAGAGCTCCAAGATTAAAACAGGGATGCAGAAATGACTAACTGAATTGCTGTTTAGACCTGCACCAAATAAGCTTATCTTCCAGCAAATGAGCATCTGAAACAGAAGTTGCATTTTCCTGTCTCACGCTGCTGCTCTCATTTTCATTCCACATGCCATACTTCATCATTGTATGTCAAAGAAACAACATTGGTCTTTACTAAAAAAATGGGGAAGTTATTTGTAGAAATGAGCCATTCCTAGTAAAGATATTTGAGGAGCATGAGTGAGACTTTCTAATTCTGTTTTTTATTATTAAAAGACCTTTTGCAAAAAGGGAAAATGTACCATTATTATCGCTGCTTCTTAAAGCAAATACTTTGTGCTTACACGTCAATTGTTGAAACTCGGGCTTGCCATCATTGTGCTAGGCCTAATACAAACCGAGGACAGATATCATCCAAAAGAGCTTAAAACACAGAAGTCTACAGATTCTTTCAGTTTCAAATGTTACAACCTCTCTTTTCCCATCACTCTTTATATGCATTAATGTCTTCAGGTACTTCTTGTTAGTGCACAGCAAATGAGAGGTGTATCTTGTCCATGGCTCTCCCCAATATTTATGTTCAATATTTGTGTTGAAGTATTTTTCATATGAAGTGATTAAAATCTAGTATGTCATGAATACAGTTCTCTAAGTGAAATTATACTTACAAGGAAACCAGAAGTACTGTCCAACAAGCAGCGAACTCGACAGATGAAACAACGAGTTAAAAAGGAAGAATAATCTGTTGTCATGCTGTCATTCTCTTGTGCTTTAAACAATTTACTGAGAATATATTCTTCTCCTAGGAACAACAGTGGAAGCAATATGTATCAGATCACACTAAGAAAGAATGAAAATGTTCTGTAGCCAGTTGAAGAAACTGTTATGGAAATTGATAAAGCCTACTTTATGGAAGGGTGAATATTAGATTGCATCAGGTATAGGTACATCTGCATATGCTTTTGCCCAAAAAAAAAAAAAAAAAGTAGAAAAGCCCTACAATGAGTTTCTTAAAAAACTTTGACTTTTTCTTTATTTCCTGAGTTTTTGTGATTTTTCATGATGCAAAGCAGGGTAACAGATGTTGCTGGTTTTGAGATCAGAGATCACAAAAAATACCTTAGGAAGAGGAACAAAATGAAAGGGAAAATACTAATGTCAGGAAAAAAACAAACAAATTAACAACAACTGATAAGCTAATGATCATCTGTTGCCTACTTGGTTTTTAATGAAGCATTTTCCAGTTTTGGACTACAAGTTGTCCTGGTTTCAGCTGTAACGGTTATTTTTCTTCCTAGTAGCTGCTGCAGTGCTGTGTTTTGGCTTTAGTCTGAGAACAATGCTGATAACATACCAATGTTTTAGTTGTTGCTAAGTAATGCTTACCCTGATCAAGGACATTATAAGTCTCTCATGCTCTGCCAGTGAGGAGGGGCACAGGAAGTTGGGAGGAAGCAGAGACAGGACAGCTGACCCAAACTAGCCAAAGGGGTATTCCATGCCACAGCACATCATGCCCAGTATATAAACTGGGGGGAGTCACCAGGAAGTGACCAATTGTTGCTCGGGTTGGGCTGGGTATTGGTCGGCAGGTGATGAGCAATTGTACTGTGCATCACTTGTGTTTATTGTTTTTTTTTTCCTTTTCCCCTTTTATTTTTATATTCTCTTCTCTCATTATTTCCTTTATCATTACTATAAATACTATTACTAGTAATAGTTTTATATTATACTTCAGTCATTGGACCGTTCTTATCTCAACACATACGACTTACATTCTTTTGATTCTCCTCCCCATCCTGTCCAGAAATGGGAAGGAAGGTGAGCAAATGACTGTGGTGCTGAGTTGCAGCTGAGTCTAAACCACAACACATGTGCATACCTTTTAAAATACTTATTTTCCAAAAGAGAGAAATATTTATTTGTACAGAAGTATGAACTCAGGCATTGAATTCTCCACTGTATTATGACAAAACTTCCAAACATTTGTAATTTTTTATAGTTAGAAATATTCATGCACCTTTTTTAGTTTGTTTTCTGTGTACCCCCTATAAAAGCTTGCAAAGTTCCTCTTATATCTGCAAAAAATATAAACTGCAAGAAATTGTACCAAAGTTTTCTGACTGTATTCCTGAGAACCTCATAAAGGCTACTGTAGGATTTCTTGCAAGTTTCTCCTTCCCCCATTTGGAGGCTGTGATTCCTCAGTTTCTTTCCTCAATTATTTCCTCACCTGCTGGTGAAATGCATATATTTTTCTGGGATCAATAATTCTTTATACAGTTAACAGTTTCAAACCCGCAGTATGTTCTGTAGTCATGATTTCAGCTTCACGCCTCATACAGGAGAAACCTTGAGCACATGTATCCACCTGCCATTCTAAGGAAAAACAACCCTCAGAAGGAAAAGCGCATTGCCAAACCTACTTGCTCGTCTGATGACTCCTTCGTGCGTAATTTTGCGTGGGAAAACAAATGACAGAAATTGATGTTGCTATTGTGGTAGTGTACAGAAAAGTTTTGCATGGGATATTTTTGTATTGTTGAGAGGAATGCTGGCGTCCTAATCAGCGTGAATAAAAGCTTGGTAGAGTGGACACTCATGCTGTTTGTGGGTAAGAATACCTGTAAGTACATTAGTCAGAGAAAAATAAAGGAAACATAAACTTTGCAGCCTCAATGGCACCCGCTACCTTAGAAATGTTACGGATCAGGAAGAAACATCATCTATGGGACAATAAGATTATAAATGGCCACCATGCAGCTTTCCAATGAAAAATGTGACTTTACACGGAATAGACATAGGCATAGGTTGAGTGCAATTCAACCTTTGTACAGTGGTGCCTATGTTTCCAGTCAACATATACAATCCCACCTGTTTCTGCCTGTAGTGGTTGTCCAGATAACATCTGGGGAGGATTCATGGCCCAGTGCAGTTGTCTACAGAAATCCTGGCGATCATCCACGTGAATGTAATCATATATGTTTTGGTGCATTACATCAGTCTGAAATAATTACAACAATTAATGTTTAATTTATAAGTGTAGTGGGGCAGACACTTATCTTTAAGTTGATACTTTACTGAAAATAATGGCTGGTGTAGGATATCTTCAGAGCAAAGATTGATTGAGGAAAGTTATTTCAGAGGCCCCTGTTTTACAGCATCTGCTTTCTGATTTCATATCCTAAGATGATTCTTTTTATTCTTAACTCTTTTGTGCATATGCAAATGGGAATCTTTAAAAAGTTCAACTGGCAGCCAGTGACAAGTGGTATGCCCCAGGTATTAATGCTGGGATAGACCCTGTTTAATTTCTTGTTTAGTGAACAATGGGATAGAGTGCACTTTCTGTAGGTGTGGAGCGAGTACCAACTGGGGAGACCAGGATGGCTACTCAGACCTTGACAGGCTGTAAAAATGGGCTAAGTTCAACAAAGGCAAATTTCTAATTTTGGGTACCCCAGGAAAAGAAAGATACTGGCATACAGAAGTGAGCCCAGGAGAACACTACCACCACACTAACAGGGCTGGAGCTATGACATAACAGAAGAGAAGAACAGTTTGTTCAGCCTTAAGGGAAAACTTCAGGAAGAACTTACTGCTGTCTATATAATCCAAATAAGCAGGTAAAAAGAAGACAACGCCCGACTCTTCTCAAAGGAACAAAGTGGGAGGACAATAAACAATAGATACAAGCTGCAACATGGGAAACTGGGACTTGATACAAGCAGGGGAAAAAAAATATGGACAGGGTGGTTAAACAATGGAATACGTCACGCAGAGGGGTCATGGAAACTCAAAACATGATCAGATGAGTCCCAGATCAACCTGCCCTAACTGGATCTGCTTTGAGCAGGAGGTTGGGCTAGATGACCTCCATAGGTCCTTTCCAAATACATGGTTCTGTTATTCTGTGACTTCACAATGTATTTATTATGCATAGGCAACCAGTCTGTATGTCTAAATGTATAGCAGCATCTTATACTGACATTGAAAAGAAACTTTTAGCTAAATCTTATTTTTATGATGGATTACATTACTGTTAACAAAAACTTTACAAAAGGAACAACATTACAAGGAATTCATCTTCACCTGTCAGCTCAAAAAAGAAATTTAGCCTGAAATGGCATCGTAAAGTAACTTAATTTCAGTAATACTGTATGTCTAATCAGCAGTAGAAGGATAATGCTAAATAGCTTAAGTGCTGCATTTTAGAAAGCCAGTTAGCAGGAGTAAGTACAAGAAAGTCATTACAATGAGAGTGACTATGTATTGTAAATATTAGTTAATGTATTTACCTGATGAAACCCTAGGTAGTCCACAATCGTTGATGACGCATAAAATATCATTCCGTCTGCACTCACCACCAATGCAAAACCGTTCAGTGACTAAAAGGGAAACAATATTAAAAATAATCAGAAAGTAAAGAGTAAAAGGGGTATAAAATGTAGTAGTTTTAAGAATATTCTAGATCTGAAAAAAATCACTCTGCAAACAAGCTGGCCATCAAATTTTGCAGAAAGGCCTTTTTTCCTAACATGAAAGATGAATAACAATATGGAACATAGTTTTTTCTTTTTTTTAATAAAGTTAGGATAAGTAATTTCAGTGTTAACTACCATATTACATTACTAGGTTATTATCTACTTTAAATTTTACCATTAATTCATATAATTAAAAGCTTAATAGCAAGTGTCAAGTACTCTTTTTGCTTTTAATTTAAAACATCATATTCCATAATAATTGCTTTGAATGTACATGCATTGATACATATAGATAATATAATAATCTCCAACAAGAAAATTAAATGCATGTACTGTGGTAGCTGTCACTTTAAAACTGGACTTGTAATTTAATGCATGGCTATTTTCATATGCTTCTATGAAAATACCTGTGTGACGTAATTGCATAAATGCAATGAATACATAAAGTAGGAAATAAATACTTCAGTGATATAGACCCATGTTTAGTCTAAAAAGGAAACCTGAATTAATTCCTATGGAGTCAGTGATGTAAGAAAAATAACCAGGAAAATAAGGATTAAATAAGCAATATATAAATTAACAAGTAAGGATTAAACAAACTACTTGACGTAAACATCAAGATCATCACACTGCATGCAGACTGGCTAATTTTGCCTCTCTTCCCTTGGTGAAGACTCAGTAACATATCTTCACTCCAGCAGGCTTGTATTCCAAGGTTGTTTAGATGAGCCTTTCATGTTCTGAGGACTTTTGAGATGATGACAGTTCAAATGGCTGCTGATGAAATACTGCTACGTTATTACTATCCTTGCTTCACCTTTTTTCAGTGTACTGTTGTAGCAATGTGCCTATTAATCCTGAGTTAATCCTGAAGCACAATGAGGGCAGATTTTCAATCACTCAGCAACCAGACACACTGACATATTTTTGTGAGCTTGGTTCTCTTTTTGGTTCCTAAATAAGGACCAGATTTCCAAGACTGCTCGAAGCCTGTTCCCACTGTGACAATGGTGGGCAGAATTTCAAGAGTTCAGTGCACAATAGACTGACCTCCTCAGAAGATTCGGCCCCAATCAGAAATGTGGAGCACCTTTGGAAATGTGGCCCAATGGGACCACATTTGTGGTGTCTCAAAGAACCTGTGAAATGATGACTGGAGAAATGTAGTGGAGAGACTGCAGTGGCTCACCTACCTTTGGAAAGAGCTGTAGCAGCAACTGCTTCAACCAAGTCAGTGCTAGCCATGAGTCATGGCTAAGAATAGTCAAGCGCAAATCATTGCCAGGCCCAGGTCAGCTCTAAAGAGACAGATCCTTTCCAGAACAAGCGTTATCTCTGCCTAGTTGGGTTTGTGCTGAACACTGGTTATCCCAGTTGACCTTCCAAGTGCAAGAAGTTGCTGGACTGCTGCTATTTTCTGCTCTAAATAATGCCCAGATTCATCTTAGCACCTCACTAACCAGAAGACAATGTTTCAAGATTTCTACATATTCACGTCTATGCCTTTCACTGCACTGAGAGGAGCCTCCATAGATGATATCTGTCATATCCATGTCCAGTGTCAAGTGGAGACAAGAAAGCATTTTTGGCATCTTGTCTCTTTGAACTCATCTTCACAGCAATGAAACCATCAGTGATGTGATGTTAGAAATTTTATTACATTTTGAACATCTAGCAGGCCTTTTAATTTGGACAGAATAAAAATTTCCACAAAGATAACCATAGGACATTTAAGGGAGCTCCTTCATGTCTGTGGCTGTTACATGCATGTCCCAAAAGATCTCCAGTCCTGCCTGTGCAGCTGGGGCAGGTAGAACTTTAGAACATTAAAGAAATGTTCGTAATTGAAGAAATGTTCTTAACCTATGCAACATAAATACAACAAATTCTATCTGGGAAGGCTTAACAAAATGACCATAGGATCTGAATACTAATAAAGAATCTCACATGTATCATGCTGAGCATCCTTGAAATGTGGTTGGTCCTGCAGGTAAGCTGGAGTTTTAAACCCCTGTAAGAAATAGCTGGGGAGAACCTGCCTTTGCCAAAGATTGCTTTTATGAATCGAGAAATAAATGCCGCTATCCAAAAATTACTCTTCTTCATCCAACATACTGGTACACACTCTTTAGTCCTAGACACATACCCTAAAAGATGAGTTTCTACTTTTAAAATGTAAAACCTGCTCCCTCACAGTGAAGGTGGGCAGATTTTTCTTTACACAAGATTTTCTTTCACAGAGCCAGAGTCGGGCTGGACCAGCTGCAGCAGTTTTTAAAACAGGAAAGGGAAATGGGACCATGTGTCCCATTTTTAACCATTTCTAAGGGTTCAGATCAGTGGACTGGCAGCTACATCTGTGAGGTTGTGACATATAAGGAGGGGTGGGAGGGAGCAAGAGGAATGAAGAAGCAGAGGAAAATTTCAAGGAGCCATGTGTTTAGGTTACGAGAAATAAGTATGGATTTGAGGGATGTATGTAAATGAAGAGAATTCCAAACTTCCCCCACTTTGTTTTGTTCTTGAAATGCTGATGTCTTCTCCTGAGTTAAGATCTCTTAAGTAAGGATTGCCTGGTTTTCATGACCCCAAATTCAGACATCAGATCCTCTACCCTGCAGGCAGGAAAAGAAAAACCCACTTTGGTGCAACAACAACTTTTATGGAGCCACATGAAGTTGTTGAGGATTAACACAAATTCCATGTGTCTAAACCTCATTTTAGATGGGAAACCTGATGCTTCAGGCACACTAAAAAGACATGAGCTGGACATGGAGTAAAACTTCCTAACCAGTGATTCTCACCTATGACTGCAATTTTTTCTGTTTTCTCAATATTACCCTTAAGTACATACCCTAAAACAGTTGAGTGTGAAACCTGACAGCTGTAGCACAGAGCACTCTGAATAGAATCAGAGTTGGGCTGAGATTTTTGCTTTTCTTACCTGCTTGCTGCAGCCAGGGAGGTAGAATCTGTTTGCTAACACAGGTCTGGTACCCCAGAAGTGGGGAATAACGATTGCAGATTAGTAGGAAAAGACCTCGTCTGACCTCTCAGACAAATCTCTCAGGTATCATATACAACTCCATACTAAACCACTTTACAGTAATCCTGCATAGAAATTTTCCATTTATCTGGCTAGAATCCTAGTGATTTGTTAGACTGAGTGGAAAAGAGAGACAGCTTCAGTCCATGAGAATGAGCAAAAACTATTCCCAGCTTTTTTGTTCTAAGTTACAAATGAAACAGGACAACAAAGTATATGGCCCCACTTAACGATTTTAAACGCTTTCAGTTACTGAAATAGGGTTCTCAGCAATAGCTTTCTCTCATTCCCAGTGAAAGGGAGGCTGCATTGGTGTGCTGTGTCAGAACCACAGCAGCCCTCTACCTGGGTAATAGATAACCTGGGGGGAAGAAAAGGGAAAGCGGATGTGGACCAGCTTCATAGCGTATGTGTCTGCCCAAAACACAGAGGGGACAACACAGAGAAGTAAAGGCAGCTTTTCTCTGCCCAAAACACAGAGGAGACAACACAGAGAAGTAAAGGCAGCTTTTCTCAGTAGAAATAATGTAAAGGCAGCTTTCAGTAGAAATAATGGGAAGCCTGTAACAGGGCTTTTGGATTTCGAGGAGGAAATAACTGAACTGATGTTATTTGCTTTATGTACAACTGGTGTGTTTTAATCAATAAAGTCCACTTGCACCCTCTTACAACTGTTAGCAATTTTGCACATACTTACACATGCACAAGGGGACACACCCAGCACATAGAAACACGGACAAAGATATGAGCTTGGGCATTAAAACTTTCACAACAAAAAACAACTAACTTCAAATCTGAAAAAAAATACATGGTTCTAAACTGCCATTTGGTAAACCATATGGATTCAATGACAGATGGAATTTCTAATGCAGGATAATAGCTGAAACATGTGAGAAAGCCTTAAGTATGTATTGTGAACATTTGTTTGTTTGTATTTGGCTTTTTAAAAACACTTACATGAGTTTTCTACATTGTACTTTACAAATGAAATCATGTGGCTATTTTTTTTTTTCCCAAATGGAAAAAAAAATGAAAGAATTAAAAAAAAAAAAGGGCTTGGCACCAGACAGGAGCCTGTGTTCTTTTGCAAGAACATGTACATCCAATTATGTACTCACGAAAAGCTGCACCTGCTACTGAAACAAAAAACAATTAATCTGTCAGTTCAAAGAAAGTACAACATTATTCTATTGCCTGCAGTAGCTGGGAGATGAAAGTTATCAGTTCCTTCCATTAAGAAGTTTTCGAAACATTATTAGTCAAGAGGTTCTCTTTGGGAATGAAGGCAAATATTTTGAGGAAGGTAGGACTTCCTTTGGCAAGATCCTTTATATATCCTGATTTTTTTTTTTTCTGGTCCCATGGCAGAAAATCAGGCAGCAAATACTTCAAAGATATTTTGGTCAAGGTCATGGCATAGTAAAAATAAGAAGGGGGGGGGGGGGGAAGAGACAGAAAACAAGTTCCAATCCACATTTCTCTTATTACTCTTCCTTGAAATAAAGGAAAATTCACTAGCACTAGGTCTCCAGAGACCATGTTACTATGGTTACTAAAGTACAACAGTCAAGGCCTGCAGCCATGCCTTGCTTTGAACAGATTTTCGAGTCACGCAACTTGGGTACTAAATTTCCAGGGTCATTTGGCTCACAGTTTATCTGGAACAGCTTCACTTAATAGTGGATCGCTGGGTTTTTGCATCCTATGTGGGATGGGGCCATTTTCTAGTGATCTAAGTAAGCAGCTATTTAAAAACTTGGGAAATACTTGTTCTCGTCTTCTGAATATTGGGAGGAAAATGCAGACAGTTAATGTGTCTTCTGTCTTTAACTGTATTGTTTAGTGGATCAGTATTTCT